TGTCATGTACACTAATACTGACACGATCCTTGATAAGAGAGAAGAGTTTGAAACACTACTGAAGGTACACCAACCAGATATTATAGGAGTTGTAGAACTGCTGTGCAAGAACAGGGGAATCGACCCAGAGGAATGCGAGTTCAGTATTGCTGGATATGACTTATTTACGAACCTTTCTCAAGAAACTTGCAAGAGGGGTGTGGTTATCTACGCTAGGCAAGACCTTAGAGCCAGCCAGGAGAGGGTACAGGGAGAGGATGTTTTAGAATAGTCCAAATGGTGTAAAATTAAATTAAAGGGAAGGGACTTACTTATCGTCGGATGTATCTACAGATCCCCAAACTGTGGCCCATTAAATCAAAGGAACTTAAGAGCCTTAATAGACAATGAGGCAATGCTCAACCCTAGCCACCTCCTTATCATGGGATACTTTAACTATGGCGACATCGACTGGAGAAATGAGTTCACCACAAATGACTTGAATAACCCTGCTACTCTTTTTGTGGAAACTCTGAGAGACAATTTTCTGTTCCAACATGTTAGAGACCTAACACATTACAGAGGGGAGCAAACACCCAAGCCACTAGACCTCATCATAACAAACGAGGAGGGTATGGTGGCCAAGCTGGAACACCTTGCCCCAGTTGGCACCAGTCACCATATAGTGTTGTCATTCAGATTTAACTGTTACCTAGTTCAAGATAAGGCCAGGCCAAAGTGCAAATATTACAAGGGAAATTACAACAGGATGAGGGAAGAGATGAAGGGTATCAACTGGCCTGACTCATTAAGGCACAAGAACGGCGGTCGACAAAGTTAAGAAGAAAACCCAGAAATTCAAGACATGGGTTGGGTCAAACGATGAGCAGGAAAGGAGGATCTATGCAAAAGCCAGAAACCAAGCAAAGGTAGAGTGTAGAAGGGCTGAAAAGGAGTTCCAGAGGCTAGTTGCAAGCGAGGTCAAGTCAAACCCAAAGGCATTTAACACTATGCAAAGTCGAAATTAAAAACGCGAGTAGGAGTATCAGACCTGAGGCTTGAAGATGGTAGTTACACAGATTCTGACCAGGATAAAGCCGAGGCATTGAACAGCTTCTTTTCTTCGGTGTTCACAAGAGAGGATGCGATTAACATTCCTGCATTTGAGGAGACGGTTCGACACAGCACTGACCCACATTGGGTTCACAGAAGAGGGTATTAGAAATAAATTGTCAAAGCAAAAAGTCCATAAGAGTCCCGGCCCTGACATAGTACACCCCAGAGTGCTAAGAGAGTTGTGCAACGAGCTTGCCGAGCCCCTGAAGATCCTGTTTTGTAAATGCCTGGATGAACAAAAGGTCCCCAGTGACTGGAAAGTGGCTTATGTGAGTCCTATCTTCAAGAAGGGCGATCGTCACTCCACGAACAACTATAGACCGGTGAGCCTGACCAGCATAATATGTAAAGTACTTGAGAGTATTATCAGAGATGCCGCGATGGAACATCTACCATGAAACAACCTTGTAAAGGACTGCCAACACGGTTTTATGCCTGGGCGCTCCTGCTTAACACAATTGCTCAAGGTATTGGATATTTGGACCCATATTCTGGAACAGGGTGGTAATATCGACAATATATACCTAAATTTTGCCAAGGCTTTCGACAGTGTACCCCACGAAAGGCTGAAAATCAAACTGGACGGGTACGGAATTCGGGGAAATGTCCTAGCGTGGATAGAAGACTTTCTACATGACCGCAAGCAGTGATGGGTGCTTAATGGCACGAAATCATCATCTGTACCTGTCACAAGCGGGGTACCACAGGGCAGTGTATTGGGTCCGCTGTTGTTTGTTTGCTTCATAAATGACATGCCTGACATTGTACACTCCTCCATACAAATGTTTGCCGTTGACGCCAAGTTATTTCGGGAAATCAAGAACCATGTGGACTGTGAAGAGCTGCAGAAGGATCTCTGTGAGCTCCAAGAATGGTCGAAGAAATGGCTGCTGAGATTCAATGTCACAAAGTGTAAGAGGATGCACCTGGGGCGTACCAACGGTAAGGAGGCTTATCATATGTCCCAACGGGATAAAAAAACTGCACTATTTGAGACTGAATGTGAGAAGGACCTAGGTGTGTATGTTGACAATGAGCTGAAGTTCTCGGGCTATTGCGACAAGAAGGTAAATCAGGCAAAATTATTGGGTCTTCTAAGAAGGTCGTTCAAATATCTAGACGGTCCGTCCCTCGTAACGATCTTCAAGAGTGAAGTGCTTCCCCATCTGGAGTACTGTCACCCAGTCTGGTCCCCGAGATATGCTAGGGACTGTCAGTTGGTTGAAAATGTTCAAAGGAGGGCCACCAGACTGGTGCCTACACTTTGGCACCTCAACTACCCTGAGAGATTGGAGCGCCTGAACTTGCTGAGCTTGTACTACAGGCGGGCAAGGGGCGACCTAATTGAGGTGTATAAGCATCTCAAAGGGCACTACTCAGTCAAGTGTCCTTACTTGGAGCTGGCGGACGCTCACCCCACAAGGGGTCACAGCTCAAGATTGAAGAAGTCGCAGTTCCAGAAAACTGTGAGGGCAAACTTTTTCGGAGTGAGGGTTGTGAACTCTTGGCACAATCTACCAGAAAGTGTTGTGACGGCACCGAGTGTGAGCTCTTTCAAGACCAGACTTGACCAACACTGGAGCAGGTTCAGGTACATTCAGGAGCCAGTGCCTGCCCAGTACTTGCCAACAGTACGTAACAGAGACGTGACCGATCGCCCAAGAGGCTAACAAGCTGATCAATTGGTGAAGAGGATAAAAGAAAAAGAAAAGTAACAAAGCGGCTAACGAGCCGATCAGTGGTGAGGAGGATAAAAGTACAGTATAGTAAAAGTGAATAGTTATTATTTTATCGCGAGTTGAATGAGAATAACTACCCGTCATGTACAGTACAGTTGTTTGATGTTCAAACCAACAATAATCGCATTTTTCTGCTAAATTTTCTTATTATTGTGGACTAATACTGTAAAACAAGTTAATGATCACCAAAAAACAACACTCATCTTACACCCCCCAAAAACAAAAATCTAAATACTAATAAAAAACTCATTTGCCTATCAGCATTTATCTCTCTGTCCCTATTATTAATATTGTTAAGTATAACAGTGTGTAATAATAAGGAAACACCACTACACTCATCCCCCCCCCAACGTAATTAACATACGAATACAAAGGCGGAGAAAGTTTGCATAATCTTGGGAAATAAACAGTACTGTACTATGATAATAGTACAGTACAATATTACAATCTTACTTTGTTTAGTTCCTTCGTTTTATTATCCCTGACGATCGTAGTAACTTGAAGTTACGTAAATCCTGAGGAGTGCGTATAACTTTAATGGCCTTGTCATAATCAATCACGTACTGATAAAAGTCTTTCTCTGTACTCTCTAAAAATCGCCACACAGATTTTTCATCAAATAAATCATTGATTATTGATGCCGGCAACAATTCAGTTTCATTATAAGACTGAGTTATGGGCTCACTTTCACTAGCATTCGTTGGGTCAGGCTCACTATCAAGGTCAATGCATGTCTCGTCACTGTCCACTTCTACCTCCTCACATTCTGTATGTTCTTGTTGTGATACATTAGTGTCACTGTTTGTGTTGTTACCATTAGACTCACTTTCATTATTTTCATCTTCAATTTCATCATCATTATTGCCGTCAGTGCACGTCACGTAACTCTGTACCAGAACACAGTCTACAAAAAGGTCTTGTGATGCACAGTAGTCACTTTTTTGTTATGAGTATACCAAAATCACTATCACCAAGCATTCCTGGGGTGTCCACGTGAGCACTGTCGTCACTAAACACACACTCAGGAATAATGGGCTCCTGAACCCACACCAGAAGGCCTTGCCTCACTCGAGTCTTGCCCTAATATCATGCAGATATTGCACAGCACTTCTTACACCCGTGGAACACGAAAAACGTCAATGTTATGCCGAAAAGGTATAAAAAATAGCAGTAGAAAGTATACACTGAACCTCCTTATGCTATACATAGCACCAAAACTAACAAGGAGGCAGCAGCTGGGCGCGCGGATTGGCCGAGGAGCTGCGACGTAGCAAGGGGAAATCCATTGTGATTGGCTGCCTCAGGGGGTATGGTCCGAGGGAGGTTCGCTGTCATTGGTTCACGCTCCTCTCGCTCTGAACAGGATGTTGCCACCGTTTTTGACTGAGCGCACAGCCAGATACATAGCTCCAGGCCTGAGGCAAAATCACGCCTTATTTTTGAAGAACTTTCTACCATATTTCTATTCTAGCTAGAGGGTTACATCCAATGCCAACACGTATAGGAAGGGTGAAAATAGTGATATCCATCAAAAAAACGCATTTTGGTCGGGGTGTCGCTTCACCCCCTTCTAATGCTGATCGCCTCATATGACCACTGGCATCCGACTTCCCCATTATATTCTGGGATATGCAGGTAAATGGATAATCTCATTGCAAAGGGCAATGATAGCACCTCTTATATCTTGCGATGTCTCCCCAATAATTCCTCGCTACATTCGATGTAAATCCGTTGATGACTGACATAGCATTGGTATCCATTTATAACTTCTACTCCAAGTAATGTAATATATGATCTGAAGCCTCAGAGGATATCGTTCGATAACATACATACTCATGCATGCTCAAATGTCGAAGGTGTAGAACCACCGATCGTTCAGAAACAGGTTGAGTAACATTGCTTGGAAAGCCTCAAATCACACCGATCCCACGGCTTTTTTGGGGGGGGACTGTACATGAATACAGAAGTAAATATTACAAATTGATAAGCACAACTATACAACACTGTGGTCTGACTAAAAAGGCATACAGAATTAGGAACAAAATACAAAGGGCTTTACATAATTTTTTTTACTGTGATCAACTACAATACGTATATGATTCTTCCATACCGTGCTTCTGTAAGCTTAAAACTTTAGTATAATGAAAGAAAAGTTCTGTGACTTACCCACGTGAAGAGTCCTGATAGCATATTTCCAATCATTGCAAACAAGTTGAATGTAAGGAAGCAGGTGATGGCTTGGAAGTATTTTGGTGGAACTGGAAAGTTTTCTTCTGTCCTGCAGGTGTCTGGAAGAAAGAGAAAAAGGTCAAACAAACTGGAAGCACTGAAACAGGTATAATTTGATGACATTGTGAGTTACCTGTCAAATACCAAATTAAAGGTTACAAATTATTTCATACTGATAGGCAGATTAGGAAAAAAAGTGGGGTAGCATTGTCAGGGATAATCTGAAGTGTGAAATCAATAAGGAAATAAAAACTGAACTGAATACAGAAACAATTTGGATAGAATTAACTGATGGTAGGGAAAAAGTAATCATAGGAGTACTATATAGACCTCCTAATCTCGATAGCGTTAATGAACAACTTATTTAGGATGAAATACGCAGGGCATCCACACATAGCTAGTTTGTATAGCAGGCAACTTAACTTTAGTCTAACAGATTGGACTGACCTTACGGGTAACTCTGAATCAGAAGATTTTCTTGAAACAGTTCAGAACTGTTTCTTAAGTCAACATATAGCTGAACCCACCCGAGGAAATAATATACTGTACAGGGGGTCCCCGACTTACAAACGTCCGACTTACGAATGCCCGCTGATACGAATGAGGTTAATCTTTAAACTTGTAGTATTTTACTTACCTGATGACTTATTTTTTACTTTCATGAATGTTATAATTATATTTCTTCTTTTCTCTTAAATTAAGTGATTTTAGAGTATATAAGGACTTAGGCTATAATATAGTGGGATTTTAAACATTGTTCTGTAAGTATGGTATGCACAGAGTATGTGTCTCAGCTTAGCTACATTTCCGACTTAAGAATGTCCTTAGGAACAGAACCCGTTCATATCCCAAGGACCCCCTGTACTAGATATAGTTCTGTCAAACAGAGATAACTTCATGAGTAATGATTCATGCTTTATCTGCGCGTTAATCTTCCACATTAGCTCCGGACCTCCCATTTAGAGAGTGAACTAGCTAACAGCAATCACGAAGAAGTGAGATTCAAAGTAGTACTTAATGTCAGCCGCAAGGAAAATTTAATTAAAGTCCCAGATTTCAGAAGGGCAAACTCTGATAGGTTGAAAAGGCATATTAAGTCTGACGGTGAACTACATGAACTCATGTGAGGTGATAAATAACGTGACCTCACATAATATACCCACAGAGGATGACCTCACTTTACCAGGTGACATTGTTTTTTATTTTTTACCAAATTCGCCACTTATCAGCTTACTAGCCATTTGGGCACTATCCAGTGTTAGTACAGGAGGAAACCGGGGACCGGGTAACCTGTGGTGTTTGGTAGTGAGGGTCACACTGGATAACACTTTTCTCACATGTGTCCAGGCCGAGGCTCAAACCCTTGACATATTGGTGAGAGTTATGCACCGCTGTACCATGAAAACCTTACAAAATACCGTTGAGGGCGACTGGCCATGATATATGAGATAGACGAGTTCCACAGCAATTTAAATAATGAGATACTTAATGCACAAAGGTAGAATATACCATACAGAAAACTCAGATCAAATATCAATGACCCTAAATGGATAAATAATTATTTTAAGAATATTATTGGTCAAAGAAAGGCTATAGGTAGGATAATCAATCGTGGTGAAGTTACCTCCGAGATTATTATAAAGTATTGGCCAGTTGGGTTAAGACCGAGATAAGAAAAGCAAAGAAGTATAATAAACTGAAGGCAGCAAGGGAGGCAAAGACAAACCCAAAGAGATTTGTCCAAATGTATCAAACTAAAACACGACCCGAGGCACCGACTATATATAGAGATAGTGAAGAAAATAGATTAAGCAAGATACTTGTAGTAGTGACTAGTAACGATGTTAGTAAGCAAATAGACACTTAAACCTATTAAGTCACCAGGTCCCGACTAGATATTTGCCAGAGTATTAAAGGAATGTAAGGAAGAACTTCGCATGGCCTAAACAAAATTGTTTAACATGTCCTTAAAAACGGGTGTAGTACCAGAATACTGGAGGATAGCGAATGTAATACTGATTTCCAAGAAGAGAGATAGATCACTATCCTCTAACTACCGTCCAATTAGTTTAACATCAATTGTAGGCAAATTACTGGAAGCAATCATTTCACTCAATTTGAAATCACCTGGAGAAGCACAAGTTGATCAATGATTCCCAAAATGGCTTCACAAGTGGGCATTCATGTATGACAAATCCATTAACATTCTTTTCAATTGTTTTCGAATCAGTGGATGATGGACACTATTTTGATGTAGTTTACCTTGGCTTTAGCAAAGCCTTCAACAGGGTCCCTGACGAAAGACTAATACGTAAAGTGGAGGCTCATGGAACTGGAGATTTCCTAAATTGGATTAGGACACGGTTACAAGACAAGAAACAGAGAGTCAGTATTAATGGCACCAAATCTGATTGGAGTAACGTCACTAGTGGAGTACCCAAGGCTCAGTACTTGGACCATTACTATTTATCATATACAGTACATAAATGATATAGATATAGACAGCAATATGAGTAAATTTGCTGATGACACTAAAATAGAGCGTGTAATTAAATCTGACAAGGACTCCTCAAAACTACAGGAGGATATAAATAAATTTTCTGAATGGTATGAAAAATTGCAGATGAAATTTAATGTACAGGTACTTAGTCTAGGCGATGTAAACAGAGAAACCAAATACCAGATGAACAACGCTGTTACAGAGAAATACAACTGAGAAAAATTTTATAACTAAGGTACTTAAACTATCCAACCAGGAGCAAACTCGAATAGCAATGGTTTTAAATTGGAAAAATTTATGTTTAGGCACAAGCTAGATAAACACTGGTTTGGAAATGGAATACAGTAAGATCTCATATTTCACGCAATTTCACTTCACGTTTTTGAATTTCATGAGCACTACCTAATGTAACCAAGTCTTATATTTGGCGTAAAATATCGTGAATTTCGCGAGATCCAGCCAGCTGAATGCTGGCCACTGTCTAGAATGACGTCACAACCCTCATACCAGTTACAGTCATTTCTGCTACAACGCGTGTTTTGTCAACACGAATTGGTTGCAACGCGATTGATGAATAGGGGAACGCTGTTTGCAAAACGCAAACTTTTGCATACAAATATTGGCTATAGCGCGATTCCATTCTCAATGTTTTGATTCCATCCTCAACATTTTAAGCGTGGCGCGGGATTTTGCAATGTTTACAGTTCACGTTTGACATCACATGTTCAATTGATTCGTGCCTTTTGTTTGTGAAGTGTTTTTTGAGAGGTACTATGTAAATTTAGTTGTTGTTTTTTCCAAATTTAGCTGTTACCCATAAATACTGTATGAAAAGAATAAGTAAAAAGAATGTTTCGCAGTGAGGACTAATAATGGCTTACACCAGCGCTCTCTGTTTACATCACGTGATCAGTTGAATCGCACGGTTTCTGTAAATTACTCCGTAATTTTCGCTATTTTCTCCAATTTTGTTGTGTTAGCGATGAATATGGAAAGACAAGGTGAGAAGAATGTTTCCAAGAAGCGTTCTGGTGATCGAATTACAGGTGGTGAACGTAAAAGAGGTTTTCAATAACGCAACTATCGCGTTTTAGCCCGCGCCATCCTAGCGACTGCCCAGGCTGTTATTGTGTGCTTTTTTGGGTAATACTACCACCTGTCGAGTCAAGATAATGGCCTCTACCTCTACTGGGGGTTCTACTGGTGCTGGTGAGGGTGGGACAAACCCACCTAAGCGGCCAAATAAGGAAAAGGAGAAGCGTCCCTCATAAGGGAGTTAAGTTTGCCAAGTACTCGATGCAGGATAAGCAGCGTGTGATAAATTACTTGAGGCCTAAAAACTAGTTTCCGGAAAGCACAATCAAGTCAATAAAGGCAGAATTTGTATCATTTGGAGGTTATAAATGGGAAAATCAAAGGTTGATGTAGAGTGGCCAGTCTATATTGTTATTTTTCCCATTAGTTTATGTATTTGCATTTGGCGAATTTGAATTTGGCGTAATTTTTCCAGTCTATATTACTCGTGAAATACAAGATCTTACTGTAGTGGATGAGTGGAACAAGTTACCAAACATCACCATTAACTCTAACATGCTGGGTAGCTTCAAATATGGGTTGGACATATATATTGGGTGTAAACGGGACTGCCCAGTATGGGTCAATAGGTTCGCTGCAGTTTCCTCCATTCTTTTGTTCTTATATCTTAATTCTTACATTTCTTGATATAAAGATCTCCCAATGTACTTTTGAACTTCCTATACCATACCTGCCAGAACAGGTGGGAAGACAGCCAGCGTCACAAAGAAGACCATGAAAACATTAAAAAGTTGAGGCAAAGCTTTTTTGAAGATGTACCAATATGGCACTCTGGGTTTGCTTGGATCTCTCTTGGCTGCTTTCTGGGCTCGGTCGTACAGGGCCTCATGGTATCTGAAGAAGCGCTGTGCAGAAAAAGGGAGCATTATTGCGGTGGCTGTTAAGTGAATTAGGTAACTAAGTATCCAAATCATATGGGAAGATTATACCCATCTTATCCTGTTCCTGGCAACAAGCCCACAAAACTAATACTGTATCCTGAATATAAGGCATGCTACTGTATACTGTCAGGTCACACTATACTGTCAGGTCACACCACACTGTCAAGTCACATTATACTGTCAGGTTGCACCACATTGTCAGGTCACACTATACGGTCAGGTCACAATATAGTGTCAGGTCACACAGGTCACACCACACTGTCCGGTCGCACCACAGTCAGGTCACACTATACTGTCAGGTCGCACCACACTGTCAGGTCACACTATACTGTCAGGTCACACCACACTGTCAGGATCACACTATACTGTCAGGTCACACCACACTGTCAGGAAACACCACACTGTCGGGTCACATTACACTGTCAGATCACATCACACTGTCAGGAAACACCACACTGTCAGGTCACATTACACTGTCAGGTCGCACCACACTGTCAGGTCGCACCACACTGTCAGGTCGCACCACACTGTCAGGTCACACTATACTGTCAGGTCACACTACACTGTCAGGTCACACTATACTGTCAGGTCACACTACACTGTCAGGTCACACTATTCTTGTTCTACAGTACCTGTACCTCTCAGTCCACCATAAGGTAAGGAAGACCTATTGATCATAGACACTACAATCAACACAGTTATACAGTACTGTGTAACCTTTAGTCCAAACACCAATGTGCTGAACAAAACCTGATGATCAGAGACTTACGTTGAGGGGAAGAGCGAAGTAGGTGTCGAAGCATGCCAGCAGCACAAACAGAGCTGTGATGAAGTAATAGATGGCTGATGTTCTGATGTTGGGTGCCAGAGCTATGGCAATGATGTTGATCAAAGCGATAAACGTGCCACTGATATTCTGAAATATATGGCAAGATTTAGTTAGTTACATGTCTCTCTCTCTCCCATACACACTGCATGCATGTATGCATACTTTTTTAAGTTACATACAGTATTCTAAATCTATATACTGTAGAGTACTGTATAACAACACATACACTTTCTTCCTTAGGTTTATGTAGTCAGACCATAAATTACTTGTACCCCTTCAGTGTCAAACAATATGTCAAACTAGTGAAAAATTCCTTTCTAAGCTCTCACATCTTGCTTCACGCTGGTAGCCCTGCTTTCTTTATAATATGGGAATATGTGGAGCTACACGTTACAATAAAGTACAGTACTGTATTACTGTCATCTGCCATAATGCAATACCCTTTTCTATGCAATCTTAAAACTGAGTGTAAACATGAAATAGCATATCACAAGAACATTGTGGACTTAATAAATTATTAACTTGAGGAACTCGTTATTTCAGATGTGTGTTTATTATTATATCAGCATTGTTAATGTTTTCTCATTTTGACTGTTGTTCACATTAGTAAACAACAAATATAAAATTATTGGTGAATGCTTAAATAAATAGCATTAAATATTGGTGTGAATAATATACTGTAGTGATATGACATGAAAATAGTTAAAATGACATTTCAGGAGCTGATGACAATTCAGTATTGTGCAGCTTGAGTCGTCAGGCAGGTTTTCAAGACTATGAAAAATCAAATAAACAAAAATTAATCTATTTGTGATAAATCTTTAATCCTTTCTTGGATAGAAAGACAATATTCAGTAGAGGCCCGTCCAGCAAGGAGTCTAAGTTGTTCCCAGGGGTATAATACACCACCATTGATGGTCATGATGGATGTCATGCATTCCAATCTTCTGCATTACTGCTAGCTTTTGAAAAAAATAACAATATTTTGCTAACTTTTAAAAGTGTAATTTGTCCTCTTTGAAGTTGAACTTGTGTTTTAAAATGATTCAAATATTTAAAAAAAGAAAAGGGATAAGGAAAATGATACTTACCAACCCCATGAGACAACAGGAGAAGTAGTGCTCATTTTGAAATCTATCACCAACAGGGGTAAAAGTAATGTACAGTCTGACTGTACACCCACTAAAAAATTATTCGACACCCTTACGGCTTGATACAATATGACACGGGTGCCAAATAATTTTGTAGTGGGTGTACAATAGATTATAATTCTGGATACACCACCAAATGATTTAGGTATAAAAAGCAATACAGTAATTATTAATGCAGATTTTCATACTGAATACAATGGTGATATTGAGTTTGGGGAAATACATAATAATTGAGTTATGACCTTTCCTACCCTGTCAATTTTGACCCAAACAAAGGTGGGCAGGGCTTAGAAGCACAGGGAAAAAGTGGAATTAAAAAAAAAAATAATAATAATAATAAATAAACCCTAACCTAATCTGGTACAGTAATTATTGTTTACACATAAACTGGGTATTTATTCCTTAAACACCAGCATATGATTAAGGTAGAATATATATTAGCCATACTTTACCCTGTACTGTACTGGAATTTATAGTACAGTACAGTACAGTGAAAGGTAAAGGTGGAGCCAACACCAGATGGAGTTGTTCAATTTTGTTCATTTTTTCCAAAATTTTTTTGGGATAGTAAATAATAAAAATTACATGACAATACACAGAACCTGACCTACCCAAAGAAACCTACTTAACCTTACCTAACTTCCTAGCCGGGAGCAAATAAACAGAAAGAACTTACAGTACATGTAAACCCTTGATAGCTCGGCATTTGATAACTCAAAATTTCATATAACTTGGCATGGATATGATCTCGGAATGTATTAGTATAATTCGGGAAATGCCGAAGTATATAAAATTATCTGGGGAAATCTTGGCATATTTGGCCACCTGCATCACCTACCATGCCTGTGTCACCTACCACGCCTCTGTGTCACCTACCATACCTCTGTGTCACCTACCATACCTCTGTCACCTACCATGTCTCTGTGTCACCTACGTACTATGATGCTTCATTCTTCACCTGCAGTGCTAGTAAGTGTTACTTTTTTACATTTAGTAATTACATGTACACATACTGTATATGGATCGATAATTTTTTATTGTTGTATTTATGTAGGAGGGGAAGTGCCTCGATAAGTTGGAATTTGGGATAACTCGGCAAAGCTAGAGCCCCATATGTGCCAAGTTATCGAGGGTTTACTGTACTTTGATGTATGGGAACCAATGAGAGAAACTTTTTTGAAGTGGCATGGTGTTTTAATTTTTTGTGGACGCGAGAATACACTCGGACTGAGCGGCTCGGTTGTTCACTGAAACTAACAAAGAGCGGACAACAACGGTCACAACACGCACTAACACAGCAGATTTTATAGCAGAATGTTTGCAGTAAATAATTAATCATTTCACGTACAAAGCACTAAGATATCATTTTGTCATATAATCAGTTTTTCACAGTGCTTTACCCTGCAATTTCCTTCATCTTTCATACCCTGTTCACTATAGGTTATTTATGATCATATGAGGAAAACTAAAAAAAATTAATAATCATACTTATAAATGAATTAAAAAGTTGTTGTATCATTTTCATTTCATATTATCATCCAAAGAATATGTAGGAAAAACAAAAGTAATTGAAAAACTCCTTCTGGTGTTAGCCGTCTGCTCCACTATTATCTTATTTAACAATATTATCATAACTTACTGAACCCAAGACCACAGCTCCCGTGTAGGCGAAGGGAAGTCGAGCTGCCACGCCATACACTGTGTTCTGGTAAATGCCATTAGCAACTGGAAAAAAAATAATAGATTAATTATGGAGTATACTATACCTTAATTACTGCTACCACCATTATAAATTATTCATATATACAGAAGTACATGTTTTGAGCTATAATGCCATCCATATCACCGATCCCAAAATAAATGCAACAACAGTACAGTACTTTATTATGAAAACACAGGATCTTGATTATTCTGTTCTGTTGGAGACCAAAACATAAGATAATCTCAATGAAAACAACATACATGTTTTTTCTTCACTTACAACACCCGCAACATTCACTTCCTTCCTTCAGTAAATTTGCATTTTTTCAACCAACATGGCTCTCGTGTTGTGTAATGTGTTTTTCCGATGGTTTAGACAATTTTAAGACATTTTCTTCTTGGACGTTTCCCTCACAAATGAACTAAAAATACCTAACCTAAACTCTTAACCAGGGGGGGGGGGCCAACTTCCCCAGATCCCCAGGTATCATTTGCAAGAGAAACGTCATAGAAGTTACCTAAAATTGTCTAACCCATCGGAAAAACACATTACTCGACACAAGAGCCATGTTGGTTGAAACTGCAATAATACCCTTACTTCACTAACAACACCAGCAACATGCACTTTTTCCCTTCATTAACAACACCAGCAATATCCACGGTAATTATTAGGGTAAATTTTTATTTTAGGACACGAGTCTCTAGGGGTTGACCATTATGTTTTTCCAGTGTATTTTTGTGTGTTTTAAACAAATCTGACCTTCATTTTTGGCAGAAATTGACCCCCCTCCCCCCAACAATAATGGGGGAGAGCCTGCGAAATTGGGGTTTTTGGGCAGGAAAAAACTAAAACGGGTCACAAAACCTAACCTAACCCCTAGACGCCCCCGGACCCTGTTAGGCCTAGCTTAAACTAACCTAACCTAAATGTTTCACTAATTTTAAACTTTGAGGCGCACCATGTCCGAAAGTGGAAGGACCAGGGATAGGTAAGAATTGGATAGACTGAGCGTCTCTCTCGTAAAACTCGGCAATAAAGTTAAAATAATCGTTAGGAGCACAATTGACAACCAACCTTGACCACGGCCATTGTCAGACTGGTCATTGAATTTCAAATCCGTACCCAGGCTACTTTCTTTTAAAAATTCAAATGTGATTGGAAAAAAATGCGAGATGATATAGATACATCATTAGTCACGACTGGATGACGTCGGTCAATAATGCGCATGCCTGATCCATAATTAACTCGGGTTCACGCTAATAACATCTCCTCACAGACGAAGACTAAAAAGTACATTAATGAATTAAATTCAATTGTGTCGTTCTTTTCCATTTCCGCCTGGTATATATGGGGTTCAAAATGCTCAGAATTGGGAGATCTAAATGTTTCAGTTGTTTATCACTTTCGGGTGCACTATGTTCTAAAGTAAAATAATACCATTATTAGTTTCAGTACTTATTTTATTATATGATACCAATGAGAGCGACTTTGTTGAAGCGTAATGGTGTAATTTTACGTTTGTTGTAGACGTTTGAGTGCGGCTCCGAGTGTGTGACTGGGTCGGTCAACACACAGACGACACGGCGACTTTGCAATTTTTTCGGAGGAGTATTTACGGCAAAAAATAATTCAACTTTCGACATTACCTCCAAAATAATGACTATCCAATTGAAAACAGTGACTATCCCAGAAGGTTGAACGTTAGTTAGGAGCTTAACAGAAAGCAAGTGAATAAAAAAGGCAACTTCTCTCGGAAATGCGAACGTTTGTAAAACCAATCTTAACCCACTTTATTCACTAACAACACCCACTTACCTCCTTATAGTGACAAGATATTCAATAAGAGTTATAATCTGGACAGGAAAGAGGAGACTATCCTTGATCAACAAGATAATCCACCAGAGACCATAATAACAACAAAGGAGGGAGAGTGGGTACTTATACACCAACACGAAACACAATAAAAGTTATATCATTCTTATATGTGTGCACATGTTTATATACAGTATAAGTACACATATGATGAAATGAGAGATTCTTGCATTAATTCCCAAACTTCAAAGTTAAAAAATTATCTCATCATCATATGCAAATAAATCACTGGAGGTGCGCGTGATCCATGCACAGTATACAGTATATGCTAATAACCACTTCGTGTTTTCTCGTTTCCTGTGGTTATATAATAATTGTTCATACCAATATTCGATAACTACAGTATTTTTCTACAATAACACATCTAATAAACCTACTACAAAAATATTTTTTCTACACAACAAAACTATATGATAACAACCTAACAGCTTGGTAACTAAGTGTTTATAAAACTTACTATTAATGATAACAATTGAGACCATAGTTATCCAGAAAAAGATGCCGGGCCAATCAGAAGAGTCGACCATAGCCAGGATCACAGTGAAAACAAACACCACCACTTCAATGAGGATGCTCCATACTATGCGGGTGGTCAGGTTGCCACTGTAAAGAAGGATGAGTGTTCAGCCAATAGTCATCAATCCCACACATCTAAAATTTATCATGTACTATACAGTAGATACTGTAGAGAGGTTCCCACACACACCCCAGGTACTTAACATTGATTAGGTATAGCGTATTGTACAGAGGAACAAACTTACTGTTGTTCAAAGTTAACATAACATAAGGACAGGAGTTTACAGGCTGCCTATTTCCGGTGTTTTCAGAATATGATCACAAACACATCATCATAAATAATGCAAAGGCTGCCTTTACATACACCGCCTCCACAAGAGCTCGAGCTGCACATACCGGTAGGCTACACACTTTATTTTTCACCACAATTTTTTGTAAAGTTTAAGTTGACACATACAGCTGGACATTGCACTTTTCATCTTCCCTAAATGTAATGCACCATGTTCTCTGGTCAGCCAATAAAATAGCCTGAATAACAGCACAACATTTTTAAGCCTGGCTCCTGAGCTGTGTGTGGTGGAGCACGGCTGCCCTTACTATAACCTTATTTGGAAATCCTTACTTTTCCTCCACACTGCCCTGCATAACCCAATGCGCCTAAATGACCTGCACATTAATATTCGTCATGTGTATGTTGCCCAGTATCGCTTCCTTAATTCACCCAATGGATCAGGGAGTCAGAGCAAGATTGTAATTGTATTATACTGTATGAGGCACGTATTACACTATGGTAGTTGTTTGATGCCATTGATAAACAACGTGCAGTGATTCACTATACACAGTCAATCACCTCCTAATGCATAGAACAATGATTGATTAGTAAGTACAGGTAGAGTACTCACTTATGTTCATTCAAGAAAGGTGAGTATAATACAATATTTAACTATTAAATGGTTATTAGTGTATACACGAAAACATAATACAGTACATATCATCATTAAAGGGGGGAATTTAGCTGTGGCTGGGAACATAATCCCTTTTGCCATGGAAACCAATATTCATTTCAACAAATTTCATTTTGTGTTTGTGGCGCCGTGTACACATCTTTGGTTCAGAGGTTGTTGTTGTTTTGAAATAATTAACAAAAACTACATACAAATAACATTAATCAACTGAGACTCCGAGATAAAACAAACTTTACTACATCTTTCACACATATCCTTCCAAAACGTCAGGAGATGTGTTGGGTGAGTTGGCTTGATCAAATGGATTACTGGGATGTATTAGTTCACATCACCAGACAGGTTACTTACCCCAACTGGATGAAGAGGTTGAGCCAGCTGAACATAACATTAGGTATATTGGCCGCATAGCCTATGTAGGAGAGGAAATTTGTTGCATATAAGGATACTTCACCGTCATCACCTTTGAGCTTGTAATCCACAAAATACTGAAAAAGATGATATTATATAAGGATACAAATGCTAAACAGTGAACCCTCTATTTAACGGACTACATAGAGGAACTTTCGTTATATTGAGGGTCAATTAAATGTGAAACATCCATTTAACAAACTATATAGAGATGAAAGTCTTTTATATCGAGAGTCCATTAGATATGAAACCCCTATTTAACGGATTGCATGGAAAGTTAAGTCCGTTATATGGACGTTACATTGTATAAAGTTTGTCATATGAATCAACTTTTATCCTTTAGTTTAGCATTATGAATAAGTCTTATTAAATATAGTTTTTAATTACAAATACTCTGAAAATAACATAAACATTGACAATGGAATATTTCAGCACTATGGTAGTTCCTGTCCTCTGTCCAAACACTGAGGTCTATGCTTGGGAAACATGACCAGTATAACTGGTCTGTAATATCTTTTATCACCGAGACCAAAAAGGTGAGAGGTCAAGTCCTACATAGCCCTAACCTAACCTAACCTAACCTTAACCTTAACCTAACGTAACTTTAACCTAATCTAACGTAACCTTAATCTAACCATTATTGGAAGCATAATGTATTGTCTAATGGTAGACCCTGCTGCCATATGGCATCACGAAAATTGTGACCAAGTCCCAGGTTGCTGATCTGACTTTCTGCCTCATTTACACATAATTGCAGGGTCTCAATTGTTTCTCTTACTATTGACAACACAACATACATATATTGTTTCTCACTTTTGACCTTTTTTTTTCATTTTTGTATTTCTATATTATTATTATTATTATTATTATTATTATTATTATTATTATTATTATTATTATTATAATAATTACATTTTCGCCCCCCAGGCCCTGATGTGGGTCAGTGACCTGTGCCTGGGTGGGCTAATCCCCGTAAAAAAAAAAAAAATAACTAACCTTAATCTAAATAACCTTAATTTAATCTTATCTAACCTTAACCTAATCTAACCCTAACCTATCCAAGACAAATGAGTCCCACTAAGATTCCTAATGGTATAGTTAGCTTAAGTGAGGTTAGTTTAAGGTTAGGTTTGGTAAGTTACGTTTAGGTTAGGTTAACTTTAGGTTAAGTAAGGTAAGGGTAGTTTAGGTTAAGTAAGGTAAGGTAAGGTAAGGTTAAGTAAGGTAAGGTGACTTTAAGTTAATTTTAACTTTTCCACCATTTAATACAGTACAATTTCATTACTGACTGTTGATTGAATTCACAACAGCTAAAACTCCTAAATATGAGCCATATTTATGATCAATGGTTGTACCGTAACATGAGGCAATAAAAAATGAATTACGATGCTTTAAAAATAATCACCAACCCTCACCAATCACGCCTATTCCTGCCACTAATTTGGGAAAAGCGTAATGAATCTCAATTAACCAGATGACCATTACAGTTTCACAGCCATTTGGTAATACAGGCGTGAATTTTATGGTTAGGCTATGGTGTGATGCAGAGGTTACAGGTGTGAATTTTATGGTTACGTTACAAGCGTTATTTGTTTTGCACCGCCCATAACGCCATTACAATAAACTTAAGACCAATAAACGTACATTTCTCGAAATTTCTGTAACAATTAGCGTTTTCCTCTACCCTGCCACAATATATTGAACTATTTCTAAATGCACCAGTTAATGATTATTGTATCACACCATGGCGTCTTAGTTGCTCGTAATAGTTTATCATAGTTATATGGTCACTCAAAATACTATCTATACAAAATTGAAGCGTAGTTCATTTTTTTGGGTTATTTCCTTGTTTTCAGTCCTAGATACTCCCCGCCACGTTCATCGTCATTATTTTACGGTCATATTCTTTTTCATTTGATAATTAATGATTCAAAGACATAATAATTATTATTGTCAGTTTTAATATATTTCATTGTCTCTAATCTTTAATATTATTGTATTTTTTTTTCTGTAATCTTAATATATCATACAAGATTGACAAAGAACCATTTGGTGCATTTTCCTATCAAGAATATTGTCATCAGTTGTAGGCTATGTATATTGTGTTATTACTGTATTTCAACAATTAAGGTATTTAAGGGCGTAACAAGGTCAGTAATTACACTCGCCCATCAATTAAAATTTATGAGATAGGAACTGTCTCATGTAGTGTAGGCTAGACAATGGTGGCTGTCTGCTTGTAAACAAGTCATTAATTTAAGATGACAAGCCAATCCTAACCCATATTATTTAAGTTATTTTAGAATGTTTTCCAGTAAAGTATCGTGAGGTTACGCTCGGTGGACCTATATTGTTTTTTCAAGAACTCATCAGAAAAAACAAAGTCAACCACAATTCCCGACTTATATTACTGGTACATTTATTTACTCTCATAAACATCAAGAATATCTGTCTTATCTGTCGTGTTGTCTTAACAGTGTACAGTATATGACCATTTACAATAGCAGTGTTCTATACGTGTTATAAATGACGTCTCCCTGTTAGCTTAAGGGTTAGTACTGCACTCTCCCCCGAACAGGTTACACACTCTTTGATGCCACTTATGGAAAGTTTATTTCAAAGATACTTAGTAATAATACTTCCTTATAATTACTATTATTTGTCATTATTATATTAATTAATCGTCATTATTCCGTATTGTGACTGACTATTTTTTTTTAACTTGACTTAATATGTATACATACATTGGTATCTCCCTCGAAGAGGCACATCGTCACTTGATCAAACCTTACTTATCCCATCCTAACCTATCCTAACCTAACCTAACCTAACCTAACTGAACTTTAGGCACCTGGGGTATCAACCAAACTTCAGGCTCCCCAAGGATCAAGTGAACTTTAGACACCCTGGCGCATCAACTGAACTTTTAGACAAAATGGCGTATCAACTGAACTTTAGACACCCTGGCGTATCAACTGAACTTTAGACACCCTGGCGTATCAACTGAACTTTAGACACCCTGGCGTATCAACTGAACTTTAGACACCCTGGCGTATCAACTGAACTTTAGACACCCTGGCGTATCAACTGAACTTTAGACACCCTGGGGGTGTCAACTGAACTTTAGACACCCTGGGGGTGTCAACTGAACTTTAGACACCCTGGGATCAACTGAACACTCCCTCACCTCTCACCAATGTTCTAGAACGTGTGTTGAACATAACAAATACTTAAAGAACAAATGACTTACCATGTTCACTGTATAAACAAAAAAAATTTATGAAAACTAGAGACCTAATGAAGTGTGTTTGTGTGTTTATGTGTTTGTGTGTGTGTGTGTGTGTGTGTGTCTAAACCCTAATATACACAGACTCTTAATCAGCTACCGCCACTGGCTAGCCCTCAGCTATCCCCCATCCCTGGATGAGGTAGTTACTGCCATCAAACAGTTGAAAAATAACAAAGCCTCAGGGCCTGATGGGATCCCACCCGAGGTGTATAAAGCGGGAGGACCTCTGCTTACCAGCCGTCTCCACTCTCTCCTGGAGAATATATGGGAAAGGGAGGAAATCCCCTAAGCTCTTAAAGACGCTTCCATTGTCAATATTTATAAGAACAAGGGAGACCGGTCAGAATGCGGTCCGTAGCTGGCAAGGTTATCGGCCGAGTCCTCCTAAACAGACTTCTTCCTGAGGCGGAAAACTTCCTCCCCGAATCTCAATGTGGCTTTAGTGCATCACGTAGCACATCTGACATGATCTTTGCTGCCCGCCAGATACAGGAAAAGTGCAGAGAACAGTATGCAGACAACCTCATGGCCTTCATTGACCTTACTAAGGCCTTCGACTCGGTCAACAGGGAAGCCCTCTGGCGGTCCCTCAGCCATTTTGGCTGCCCACCAAAATTCATCGCCATTGTGAGGCAACTCCACGATGGCATGGACGGGAGTGTCCTGCACAATGGTACCCAGTTGAGTTTTTCCCCACCCAAATGGGGGTAAAGTAAGGATGTGTACTGGCACCAACTCTCTCTTCCATTTTCTTGATTGCCTTCCTTTCTCGTGCCAGTGCCAATTTCGCTGGAGGGGTGGACGACTCCAGGCAGGAACAAAGGTGTCGGCCGCTTCCACCACAAGCTTCAGTCTGCCGACGACTTCACACTTGTCGCTCACACTGAAGGCGACCTACAGGAGATCCTGAGCACCTACGCAGATTTGCGTATGCACACTTTAGCCTTGAGGTGAATGTACGTAAGACTGAGATTCTCTTGCAACCTGCCCCTGGTTCAACCATACCTCCACCACCCATCCAGCTTTATGGTACCTATTTCCAGTACCTTAGCTCCCATCTGTCCACCACTGCAGACATCGATGAAGAGATTCAACATCGGATCAGATGTGTATTTCAAGCCTTTGGCAGACTCCGCACCGTGTCTTTAGCTGTAGGGAGCTGAGGAGCTAAAATTATCTACTAAGTTGCACGTGTATCGAGAAGTGGTCCTCCCCACCCTGCTGTATGGCAGCGAGACATGGGTCACATGCAGGAAGCACCTCAAGGCACTTGAAAACTTTCACCAATATAGTCTACGTTCCATCCTCCGAGTTCCCTGGGAAGACAAGAGAACAAATGCCAGTATTCTCACTGACACCCACTGTAGAAGCATCGAGGCTGCCATTATCCATGAACAACTACGCTGGACTGGCCATGTTACCCGCATGGACGACAGTAGACTGCCAAAGCAGCTACTTTACAGTCACCTAACGAATGGTACACGTAATGCTGGCGGGCAACGGAACACGTATAAGGATAGTCTTAAGACAAACCTGAAAAAGTACCAAATCGACTCCCTCACCCGGGAGACGATTACTCCACATCATAACGCTTGGAGGAGCACCACACGAGGTGTCAATACTTTCGAATTAGCCCGACTGCATACAGAGGCAGACAAGTGCCAGCCCTGGAAAGATGCTGCCACCGTCCCTCCTGCACTAGATGTAGCCCCCACATGTTCAACATCTGTGGACGACCCTACCGGTCTCGCATTGGCCTCTCGAGTCATCTCAGAGCTCACCAACGAAGGTGACATCCTTAATGACTAATATCATTGTATCATAGCTGGATGATCGTCATACTCGTTTCCGAGTGACAGCAAAATAGTAGTAGTAGTAGTAGTCATCCTCAGCACAAACAAGTTTGCCCTGTAGCAAGTGATCTCTACACTTCCATTGCCGTCCTTGCAAGAAAGCTGGCATCCTCGTGCTGCCAACACCTCCATGCTCTGATGGCCCGCTGGCTCATTCCCCTGCATAAGAATCCAGGATGTAGGCCAATAGGTGTGGGGTAAGTGATGAGGCGGATCATCGGAAAATGCATAATGGAGGTGGTAAAGGATGATGTCAGGGCAGCAGCAGGGAACCTGCAAGTTTGTGCTGGCCAACAAGCTGGAAGGGAAGCTGCCATTCACGCCATGAGAACGATATTTGAGCAGCGCGATTGTGAGGCCGTTCTCCTGGTGGACGCTTCAAACGCATTCAACATACTTAACCACAAGGCCGCACTGCACAACATCAAGATCAAGTGTCCAAGCTTTGCAATGTATGTTGAAAACTCCTATAGGAATCCATCAGACCTTTATATAGTAAACACCAAGGCTCTAAGAGGTGATACCATCATACAGTCAACCGAAGGAACAACGCAGGGGGACCCTCTTGCAATGGCAATGTACGCAATAGGCCTATCCATGCTTCAACACACAATAAAATTTGAAACAACTGAGGTCAAGCAAGTGGCGTACGCTAATGACCTTACAGGAGCAGGAAAAGTGGAGGACATAAAAAAATGGTGGGACAGTGAGATTTTCCAAAATAGGACTTCAAACACTTCCAACGAAGCCCGTGTTGATGTCAGTGCTCGAGGATTCTGGACGCGGGGACAGGGAGCCTTCTTTTTTTTATCCCATGGCCGCAAGTCACCGTAACTTAGAACTTAGCTCTCGATGCTGCACACAGGAGGAATGAGAACGACAAGATAAGGGCATATGGGGAGAGAATTCAGAACGTTGATCAAGGCAGCTTCACTCCTCTAGTGTTCACAACCTCTGGTGGGATGGGACCAAGTGCAAGATGCTTCTACGCCAGATTCGCGGAGGTGATATCCAAACAAAAGCAGCAGCCCAGAAGTTATGTTACAGCCTGGATGAGATGTCGACTGTCCTTCTCTCTCCTTAGGTCGGCTTTGCTCTGCCTCAGGGGAACGAGAGCATCGGCTCCAAAGCCGACAACAGCTGCAGATATTGACTATGAGGCAACAGTCACTGAATGCCGCATAGATCTGCGGCTCAACTAACTCAACACAGGTAGGGTAGCTACTTATGTATTAGGATATTTAATATTAAGGTAATAAAATGGGGGCGAAGGTATGGCTATTGGGGGAGGCTGGAGGCCATTTAAAAAAAGTAGTCGTAGTAGTAGTATTAGTAGTATTAGTAGTAGTAGTGTGTGTGGTCCATAATCGCATGTGTACTGTATAAAGGCAATAAAAACAATACCACACTGTGTCTTAAACGTAAAAATAAATACTATAATACCAGAGGCAGAAGAATAAGCTCTACTTACATTCTTTGCGGTGATAAACATGTTCCAGGGCATGAGTGTTCCCATCCCGTGCAGCATGAGGGTCAGGAACACCAGCCTGTACCTGTAAGAAAAGAACACAGTGTTACAGTCTACACCTCTAACAACACGAGATGATGATGATAAATATAATACACTCGTTATAATCACCACTAATACAGCATCAGTGGATCTTGTACTTATGAAACAGTCTCGCACTTACAGGAAACAGTCACACACTCATAAGAAATAGCCAAGCACTCTTAAGTCTAAACTATAGAGGCAAGAAATTATTGGAAGGTCATCAGCGCAAAAATAGCCACCATCTGATATACCACAATTACTAACAAGACCATACATAACAGCTGGCAAATTAATTATCTGATTATTAAATAAGAGTACAGTATTCTACATATATGAGATATTTATTCTTACTGAAAAATCTAGAAAGAAAATACTGAGTTAAGTTTTTGAAAGGAAATGTGAACATAAGGTTGCCGTTGAGTGGGCACTTGGCAGCCACCCGGGAAAACATCTCGTACAAATGGAATGGAAAACTTATTCTCTGTGGATTAGTTAGAAAAATCTATAGTTACATGGCAAAGAAATATGCTAAATAAATAAAACACGTAAAATATTGGGGGAAGGCTTTTGAAAAATATATGTATAGATACAGGTATATGGATGAAGTTGCCAGGGCACAAGGTTGTCCCAAAGGAAAACATATCGTACCTTAAGTCGCACACTTAGCCCAGCCGATTCCGGACAAAAAAATGTGCTGCTGCAGAAGATGATAGCGGGTCGAGTAAAAAGGTCCGCCTTCGGAAACACCGCAGTGGTGGTCATAAAAATGGTATGAACCCCGGGCAGATGGCATTTACCTCCTGGAGCGGGAGACCTCACAGTTACCCGGCGCCACCCTGCCTTTCCTCCCGCCATCACCCACGAAGATTCCTATATTATATCTTTACCTTAATTAGACCTTTCCCCTTAAAGATACAATATTCCCTTAAATAGACGTTTTTTCCTAAGTGATGCAATTTTCCCTTAGACATATTTTTCCCTAAGAGAAAGAAATTTCCCTGGATTAGATATATTTTACCTTAATTAGACAATTTCCCTAAATATAAACACTCTTCCAGTAATAATATATATATATATATATATATATATATATATATATATATATATATATATATATATATATATATATATATATATATATATATATATATATATCTTAATGAGACAAACTTCGGATTACCTGAAGATTAGACACCCCAACTTATCTCACCTGATGATTAACTAACCAAACCAAACTTATCCCAACCTAACCAAACACAGCATCACCTACCCTAACCATACCTAGGCAAACTTAACCAAACCTAACCAATCCTATCCAAACCAAACCTATCCAAACCAAACCAACCTAACCAACTTAACCTAACCTACGTTAAAACACGGAGGAAATCAACAGTGTGCAAGAAATAGGGAGTATTCTGTGGCAGGATCGACACGAAATGTAATTTTCTACGAGATTATCGGATTCTTGGTGGAAGGGCGGAGGTGTGGGTGTGTGGGGGGGGGTCAAGACAGGAGAGAGAGAGAGAGAGAGAGAGAGAGAGAGAGAGAGAGAGAGAGAGATAGCATCATTAACTTATACTAAACAAACCTGACCTGTTGTAGATTTCAGACAAAGTTAACGTTGGCTTAAGTTACAAAGGACCGCTGAAGCACCAAGGAAAACACTACACAAACAAACATTAAACTGAAGTCAGAGTCAAGAATAATGAATTAATTACATCGACATATGAACTTATCTGGGTACTCACTGGCACTCCCTGGCTCCTCCTCTATGAGTGGTGGCAAAACGAGTAGTTGTGGTGTAAGTGCTGTACTTACCTGGCTGTGACTGGCACTGTCAGGTGAGCGTCAGTGAACTTACCTCTACATGTCTGATGGAAAGGAGAATCGAGTCTTATACCTTAAAATTCTTTGTGAAAATAACGACTACTGCTGCTGCCTGACACAGACTTTCAGCAAGTGTAAAATAAGAGGCCATGACCTCCAACAAGTGTAAAATAAGAGGCCATGACCTCCAACAAGTGTAAAATAAGAGGCCATGACCTCGACAACTGTGTAGTAAGAGACCATGACCTCCACCCGTCCACAACTTACCGATCAGGAGGCCCGACATCCTCCTCGGGCGTGGGCTGGAGGGGCGTGAACACCGTGGCCTCCGGGACTGACTCAGACTCTTTGGAGTAGAGCTTGAGGTCCGCCGGGGGCTCCCAGTTAGGATCCTCGAGGGCTGGGTGCCTCTGGCGGGGCCTGGGGGAAGGAGAGCCCCCCGGAGTGTTGACACGCGACAAGTCCTCTACAGAGGCCAGAGGGGCCGTGAGGTAGTCAGACTCTCCGTACATGTTGATGGTGGCCGGCATGGTCCTGATGCACGGTGTATACACGCACTACACCGTGTCCTGGGGCGCTCGCGCTCACTCACACTGACATCACGGGTGAGGGTGAAGACTACAAGGAATTCTGGTTCATTCACGCTTCTCTCACACCGCCACTACGGGCGAGGGCGAGTCCAGATGACAGGTCAATTACTTACAATGTTTATCACACCACAGACGTTATCTTCGGCGTCACGAGCCTTAACTACACTGTTACATTCATCAGGTGTTCCTGTACGGTGTAGACTGACGGACTCCTTGTATCACTTCAGGATATCTCTGGACTCTTCTATCACCTGGACAACTCATAAACTCCCGCTGTTTTCATGGACTTGGATGTGGGGTGATATAGCGTCGTGACTTTATTTTTTATAATGTCTTTGTTTGGTTCGATTGGAAAGGCAAGATGGCAGTGAGGAGGTGATGGTGGAGGGTCGAGTGTTGCCTCACATGACTGACGGCTGGTGATGTCCTGGTAATATTTACAGCTGGGGGAGAAACACAAATATGACAACACAAACACACACCTGAAGATCCTTGTGTTACATAGTTCACCATCACCTGCTGGCCCTAACACCTCACCAACACGGATTATAATCAAAACATCACGATATACCTACAGGGACGACATAAACATCAAACGATACTTGTAGAGGCGGCAGCACACCACACGCCTCCACTCTGAGTGACACAAATACAAATCTTAGAATATAGAACCGCTGATCCATATTTTATACACGATACATAAACCGTACATCTACATTTCATAATACAAAATGGAATCTTCCTTTATTGACATGGATGAGGGCTGTCTCTTATCATTAATGCTTCTCTGGTGGCCCTTCCATGCTCCTCTGGCCCTACCATGCTCCTCTGGCTCTCCCATGTTCCTCTGATCCTCCCATGCTCCTCTGGCCCTCCCATGCTCCTCTGACGCTCCCATGCTCCTCTGATCCTCCCATGTTCCTCTGACCCTCCCATGCTCCTCTGGCCCTCCCATGCTCCTCTGACCCTCCCATGCTCCTCTGATCCTCCCATGCTCCTCTGACCTCCCATGCTCCTCTGGCTCTCCCATGCTCCTCTGACCTCCCATGCCCTCTGATCCTCCCATGCTCCTGATCCTCCCATGCCCTCTGACCCTCCCATGCCCCTCTGACGCTCCCATGCCCTGATCCTCCCATGCTCTGACCTCCCATGCTCCTCTGACCCTCCCATGCTCCTCTGGCCTCCCATGCCCTCTGACCTCCCATGCTCCTCTGATCCTCCCATGCTCCTCTGATCCTCCCATGCTCCTCTGACCTCCCATGCTCCTCTGACGCTCCCATGCCTCTGACCTCCCATGCCCTCTGGCCTCCCATGCTCCTCTGACCTCCCATGCTCCTCTGACGCTCCCCATGCTCCTCTGACCTCCCATGCTCCTCTGACCCTCCCATGCTCCTCTGACCCTCCCATGCTCCTCTGGCCCTCCCATGCTCCTCTGACCCTCCCATGCTCCTCTGACCCTCCCATGCTCCTCTGACCCTCCCATGCTCCTCTGACCCTCCCATGCTCCTCTGACCCTCCCATGCTCCTCTGACCCTCCCATGCCCTTCAGTTGACACTCTACCATTCCCTAGTCCCTTACAGCTGGTGGCCACATCACAGGTAACTCGGAACGCCCCTCCCCCCACCGCCAGAGGTAAACACATCTTTATAAACTGAGTTAGAAGCTAAGAACCCAGATGACTCCTCCACCGTTGCCACACCTTGTCCACGATGACGGCACCAACACACACACACCGACACACATCCCATTAAACCTCCTCTTACGGTTCTATTGTGACACTAAATTTTCTTTTTTTTTACTTACTGTCACGCGGTTGTCGTCCTCGAGTGTATCAAGTGGTGGCGAAGCGGCGAGACGAGGACGAGCATCTTCCACCCCCCCCCAGACCACACTATTGTTACCATGACGACCCAACAGCCACCATAAGGGAGTAAGTTCAAGTGGTGGCGAAGCGGCGAGACGAGGACGAGCATCTTCCACCCCCCCCCAGACCACACTATTGTTACCATGACGACCCAACAGCCACCATAAGGGAATAAGTCACATCTATCAGCCCAGCCTACTCCTGCACGACTGGCTCTTATACGCCGGACGTAAGAATGCCACTACAGGCAGAAGGCAATGGTGGAGGTCAGGTTAGGTTAGGTTAAGACACAGATTAAACGTCAGGCGCTTACTGACTGCTAGTGAACATCTTAGTTATATTTTCAACATAGGTTAGGTTAGGTTAGACAAGCTAGATTAAGTAAGCTTAGGTTGGGTTCGGTTGGGTTGGGTTAGGTTGGGTTCGGTTAGGTTAAACACGAGCACTTTACGATACCCTGAGATAATGTGAACTCTCTCTCTCTCTCTCTCTCTCTCTCTCTCTCTCTCTCTCTCTCTCTCTCTCTCTGGCCTCGACAGCTGGGGAACAGAGCCAAACTTTGCCCATTCTCGTTCCCTCTTAACATACCGCAACCATCTACCTCCCAGATACAAACATGGCGACCAAACAGCACCGAGACTGTACCGTTGTGGTGCGTCGCTCACTAAAGCTATTATACAAAGATGGTGACGTAATTGTTCCAAGACTCTCAACCAAGAACCTTCACCTCTCACGGAAGATTAACTGTGTCGCCGTGTGGGTGTGGGTGTGTGGGTGTGGGTGTGGGTGTGTGTGGGTGTGTGTGTGTGTGTGTGTGTGGGTGTGTGTGGTGTGTGGGTGTGTGTGTGTGTGTGTGTGTGTGTGTGGGTGTGGGTGAGTGTGAAGGATAAGTGAAACGTGGAGAATAAACAACCATAGATTTTCTCTCTCTCTCTCTCTCTCTCTCTCACATTTCAGAGAAGTAAGCCTCTCCAAAATGGCGGAAGTTCGGCGTTAGGACTACACACAACCTCATTACCCTCTTGGCCAGGTTACCATGACGACTAACATCAGAGGACGCGAGGGACAAGCTGTGACCCTCCACCCCCACCACACCCCCCACCACCTCCACCACACACCTCCCCACCACCACACCCTCCACCACCACCCCCCCACCACCACCACCACACCCTCCCCACACCCACCACCACCCCCCACCACCCACCACCACACCTCCCCACCACCTCCACCACCACACCCTCCCCCACCACCTCCACCACCACACCCTCCCTCCACCACCTCCACCACCACCACCCCTCACCACCACCACACCTCCCCTCACTACCTCCACCACACACCTCCTCACCACCTCCACCACCTCCACCACCACACCCTCACCTACCCACCACCACACCCCCCCTCCCTCACCACTCCACCACCACACCCTCCCACCACCACACCCTCTCCACCACCACACCCTACCTCCACCACCACACTACCTCCACTCACTACCTCCCACCACCACACCCCTCCTCACTACCTCCACCACCACACCTCCCTCAATACCTCCACCACCACACCTCCTCACTACCTCCCACCACCACACCCCTCCCTCATACCTCCACCACCACACCCTCCCTCCCTACCTCCCACCACCACACCCTCCCCTCAATACCTCCACCACCACACCCCTCCCCTCACTACCTCCCACCACCACACCCTCCCCTCACTACCTCCACCACCACACCCTCCCTCACTACCTCCCACCACCACACCTCCCCTCACTACCTCCCACCACCCTCCTCCCTCCCACTACCTCCCACCACCACCCTCCCTCATACCTCCACCACCACCCTCCCCTCCCCTACCTCCCCCACACCCCTCCCCTCCCCCTACACCCTCCCCCTCCCCTACACCTCCCCCACTCCCCTACACCCTCCCCTCCCCCTACACCCCTCCTCTCTCTCCCTCTCCATTACTTCCGGATACATTGAAGCCCTATAATTTAGGTGAGCCATAGAGGCTACAGTCCAACACGGAAATACTGCGACAATACTCTGATATCTCCATTAATAATATATTTGTAACGTCACTGAGAATATAACGGTGTATTAATACTCTGTCACACACACACACGCATACATATTTATTATTATTATTATATTATTATATGTTGTTGTTGAAGACCGCGTTCCTTTTAAAACAATAACACTAACATAAACATAACCTTGATTTAAAGACACGAAGGAAGGGTTCCAATAACACATGAGGATTCAGCCTTACAGTGTCTATTTCAGTGCGACAGATCCTCTCTTGCCATTATCTGGTTCATTAATTCTTATCGTAAAGCAGACGATTCATAAGAGAGAAGACAGTGTCTGTGTGTTAAAGGATATAGTAAATAAAATCACATACACTATTAATATTAAACTCGCTATTCTATAATTTCTACGTTGCCTTTGCGTTAAAAAAATTACTAGCAGCTAAATATAAACATCAACAGGTAACGCAACTTTACGCGGGAACATGACAACAACAGCGTTACCAAGACATTCAAGTTTACGCAATAAAGGGTGACATAAAGTGGGTAATAACTCCAGTACTGACACACGATACAGACGCCACAAACAGTCATGGTGCAGAGGTTTGTAATCCCATTCTCCCTCACACAACCCCGGGAGCCTTGATCAATAACTCCCCAACCCTAGCAACCAATAATAGACAGTCATGGGGCAGAGGTTTGTAATCCCATTCTCCTCACACAACCCCAGGAGCCTTGATCAATAACTCCCAACCCTAGCAACCAATAATAGACAGTCATGGGGCAGAGGTTTGTAATCCCATTCTCCCTCACACAACCCCAGGGCCTTGATCAATAACTCCCCAACCCTAGCAACCAATAATAGACAGTCATGGGAGGTTTGTAATCATTCTCCCTCACACAACCCCGGGAGCCTTGATCAATAACTCCCCAACCCTAGCAACCAATAATAGAGCAGCTCCCGTTCACTCCCACACCACCGAGGAAGCTCATTGGTCGGATGATTTTGGCGGGCAAGTGACGTCATAAAGGACAGTCAAAGCTGCCAGATTTCACGATATATTTCTTCTGTTTGAGTTTCAGTTTGTTGTTGCCGTAAGGACGCCCGACGGACAACAGGTGGAAGCTGCAACTCTCTCCATTACACACACACACACACACACACACACATACATACACATGACGTCTCGTGTAGTAAACAGTAAAGTGTGCTGGAAGGGAGAGAACGTAACGTAAACAAACTTTTTCTCACAGTATCTTTAAGGAAGGAATTCTACTCAGCAACAGACCTAAAGGATTGGATTAACTTGATATACCACATTCGATCTTATAAACCAAAAGGGATTCCATCTTACCTTTTCTATTATATATGAACGATTAAAACACCGCGGAGGTAAACACAAAACTCACTCATTCACTCACAAACATAAACACAAACCTCGATGCAGGAACATTTTTTTAAGTTTGTTAGCCTAGAGAGAGAGAGAGAGATGGTTGGCAATATGTAAAATTCATGAGTTGACATTTAACCGAGAGGTTACCATGACAACGGTGATAG